TCTACTCGATCTCCAGTAAACAAGGTTATGGACACATTGTAAATTCTTCTACAATTGTTCAACATTTCTAATGTGCAAACAATTTGGTCAGAACTTTTGTGTCTAACATCCACATGTTCTATAAGAGGGAATTGACCCAACCACATTAAGTGAAAATTTTCCTAGAGATTCTGACTGATTGTTATGAATGATGATTCTGAGTGATTCATTGTTCTAGAGTGACCGTTCTCAAGTCCTTTACAACTAACATACTCATGAATCTGTCATAATCAGCTTTGGTCAAACGAACGTCTTGTTGCTCTTCATTTCCAGCATCACTATTGACCGCATTGACATAGGGTTTAGGCCTGCTTGCAATATTGTTGTTCCTTGAACCAATACCCAATGTAAAACCATGTTTCTGAAAGCATCTGTCCTATATGTAATAACCTACATCATGACTCTACATTCTTTATGACTAGTAGTTGTACAAGCACAATGATGTATTGCCTAGTAGTTATCAAGTTCACCCTTGATATTGATCAAATTCCCATAATATTCAGCGACAGTTCGACTACCTTGTCTTATATGGCAGAGAGCATCGACCAGCTCTGCTACTCTATCCATATATGCTTGACCATATCTTCCTTTGGGGCATTCATGCTTCAGATGATAACTTCATTGACATGATTTTGTTACTTATCGCAGGTTCAACTGTTTGTTGTATCCAACTTAAAACCATTATATTGTTCTTGTTCATGACTAGTACAAAGGGTTGTTGTTTGATGGTATAGTAATGGCTTTACCTATAAATCCAAGCTTGTTTTTAGTTCAAAGTGCATTGTACATGGTCTTGCTCAAGTCATTTAGTTTGTGGTGGTTAGCTTCTCACCTACCAACATCAATCTGATCGGCTCAGAATCAGGTAGACAGCAAGGATCACAAATAATATACCCATTTTTGTTGACACTGTTGTTGATTCCTTCTTCCATTGTTAATCAATGGAGGCTAGGGTTTCAATCAAACTCTCATACCATAACATTAAATCTTGGAAATGGAACCCTAAAAGCTTGTCTTGTTCTCTTTGATCAAACTGTTTATGTATCCCTTACTTGTATCTACAGTCCAAGCTTGCAAGATGGAGAAGAGAGTAAACGTAAAGGGAATTGAACTAAGGGGTCATTTGGATGGATCAATCTAGAAATGAGTCAATTTGATCAATTGTCTCGTTTTATAAACGAGGCAATTAAAACGAGTCAATTTGAATTACCTGCCCCCACCCCAGGTAATTGAAATTGACTCAAAACGGATCAATTCAAAATACCTCAAGCAGATTGATCCATCCAAATTTTTTGCTGGCAAACGAGGCAATTTGGTACAATTGTCTCAAAACGAGAAATTTGTGTCAAATTGATCCGTTACAATTCCTCATCCAACTGACCCCTAAGAGTTAATATTCCCTACTCTCGTTGGTGTCTTCCTTTCCTCCATACAAAGTCAATTCAATTAATGGACACGTTATCTTCCCTTATACGATGTTGCTCCAATTAACAATCATCTTCTCCATGTGTAATCTAGCTGACTTAAGTTCGATTCCAAGGATGAAAAGGACGTATATGCACAATTTTTAAATTCTCTTATTAATTTCCCTTATTCTTCTTTTGGTTTTTGGTTTCTTCTTTATGAAAGGAAATCCCAAGAAAAACTGGTTTGATATACTATAATCACTCTGCAAAAGAGAGGTGGAGAGATATGCATACAAGGAGGAAATTTTAAGATTAAAATCTTATGTTGTATAAAGAATATGAAATTACAAGGGAGATGTAATGAGATAAAAGGGAAGTGTAGCCGTCGGCAATGATAACTCGAAGAAGATTATGACGGGCGGCAGGGAGGCCTTAGCCACTAGGAACAAGGATTGATGACTAGTGAGTTTTTTTTATCTCTCTTTCTTCATAATCCTTATCAAGGTTTATTAGGAAAAATACATGACTTATGGTAGATGATTTGTGGGTTGTGGTGGAAACAAAGGAATTGGCTTTTTTCTGACTTTGTGTACTTTTAAGTTATTTAGTTCAGTAATTATTCTATTGGCCCACAAGCAAGGATCCAAGATGGAGTGAAGTACGACCTATTAAACTAGTATATATAGCCGGATTTTGTTTGATAAAATTATCTAAGGGGTAAGCATTTGCATATCTTCCAATCTTGGTTGTTTTTACTATTTAATTTGTTTGAATAATGACATTGGCATCCACACTTATAAGGTAACTCTATCTATCTCAAGAAGTGGGCATGGAGGACATGATCATTGTCTATTTGATGCGGCATTTCAATTAACTCCCATACCCCAATTATTTCAAATAAATCACAAATGCTTTATATCAAATAACTCACCCAAAATACCACACCTTGCTTTTTTTCATACCAAACTAGCGATCAGTCGAAATAACTAAGATACAACCTAAAAATGTCATTGTGGTTGCTCCTCCTATTGTATTTGTGGGTAGGGATGGTAAAAATATCTGTAACCGTGGATATCCGCCCGAATCCGGTCTAATCGGGTAGGGTAAAACCCGAAACCGAAGGACATTTAGTGGGTTCGGGTAAAAACCGAACCCGAATATTGCGGGTAATGGGTGGGCATGGGTTTCTAACTATCCAACCCGAATCCATCCGGTTATACGCATGCATATGTATTTTGTCTAGAAATAATTATTATTTTTCTCTAACATTTTATATTTAGCATATAAATATAATATTTTCATGAAATTGTGTTGTTTTAGTTAATTTTCTTCATTCTAGTGAACTATTGTCGTACTTTTTCTTTTACGTAATGTGAGAACACGTGTGAATGTTAACATATTGGTTGGAGTTATGAAGAGAAATTATTATCCAAGGATAACCGTGGATACCCGAAACCCGAACGGGTATGGGCATGGTTTTAATTTTCTACCCGTTTCATATGTGAGTATGGGTATGGATAAAACCCGAACTACTCTGGGTAGGGTAACGGATATGCACTATCCATCCCCGACCCGACCCATTGCCATCCCTATTTGTGGGATATGTTTCTAGATATTCCCAGGAAAAGGTACCCCAGAGGTTGGTTGTATTTCCGCATCTCAAGATAACGCCTAGTTTGTTCACAAGTCGTGGCTAGATTGTTATAGAAGCGGGAAAACTTGAGTTGTTGCTTATGGGGTTATAATCATGAGGCGGGTAGAAGAGTATTTTAAAATTTATCAATTAAGTCTCTCTATTGATTAGATATCACCCAAGGTGTATGTGAGATGGGGTATATGTGCTCCGCTTTTGCTTTCGTCCCTTTCTTTTTTTCTCCACAAAGAATTCTCCCTTCCCCCCGAGAAATTGGTTTCCTGCTTTTCTATTTTTTTTTTTTTAATTCCGAGAGTTCCCCCCCCAAAGAATTTGCCTCCTCCCTTTTGTTCCTTTTCGGGCCCAAAATGGCTGCCAAATTCTTAGCCCATCCATGTTTTCAGTTTATCGCCCAGCAACATGAAACACAGAAGAAAATGGGCCTCGGCCCATAGATTCCTCTAACCCATTCCTTTGGGCCTTGAGCCCAAGTGGGTAGTCCTCCAGTAATTCGAGCCCGATTTATTGCTTGTGCACTCGCTCCTTTTTCGTGCTTTCTCCACCTGTATCATATCAAACTCATGGCACTAGGTAGTAATGGTTTTTCAACCATTCTCGGGTTAGCGAGCCCTAAAATAGCACCAATTGGCTAAAACATACCACGGATAATCACATAAAGTCCACGAATCCGATATATTAAAGCCGAATATCACAACCCCACACTCAATTGTTGCTTGTCCCCAAGCAACGACTCAAACAACACAAACACAAAACCATCCAAAACAATGACACACCACAGACTCAACACTCAAACACCCAAAACAATGAAACACCGGGATTCACTACCTATCCTATCCAGATTAATTCACATACTCCAATCAATTTAATCCAACTCTCTACAGCCAGGATATCACGAATGTGCTAGCTATCCCTGTCGGGAATTACTACGTACTAAACAATTAAATCAAATCCTATTGTCGTAGCTCAATGACCTAATTATTTAGCCTGAAGATCGATATCCTATTTAAGACCGCATAGCACCTTATTTAATCCACTGTCGCTTCGATAAGTTACTATGTCACATGAAATAGGTTCAGTTATTAGGGTTTCACTGTCGCTAATAACCTAATCAACTACGATTCATTGTATTGGTGGCCAGTCAACACAAAGCATTAAGCAATTCCATGCAATAGAGATTGGAAGAAAAGAATCATAAATCAATCCATCAAATCAAGAAATAGCTACATCCTATGGTGTTTCCCCCAGAAATTGGGGTTTAGTTCATGATGAAATTAAGATAAATCGATAGGGTTTTGTTCATCATGTTCTAAAACAACAAGAAACAACTAATTAGGTTTAGAAAATCCAACCAACTAATCGCTCTCGTTGAATTCAGCTCAAGCCGCTTGAGAGAAGTCGATCGCCGATGGAAATCGACTGATCGCCTTTTGCTCTGCTGCCTTGCGCTTTCTTTCTCTTTTCCAAGAATTCTGCCCGCGACCCTCTGGTCCTCCCAGCTGCTGCGCGCTTTTTTCTTTTCCTTCTATCCGCCTCAAATTGCTTTTATTCCCTTCCGTGTCCTTCTGCTTTTCTTTTCTCCACAAGAATTCTCCCCTCTCTAAAATTCTGTTCCGTCCCCTCTCTAAGCTGCTGCCCCCTTTCTCTCTCTTTTTTTTTTTTATTTCCCTCGTTCCCCTCCAAATCCACCTCGTGTCCCCCAGAAATTGGCCTCCAAAGAATAATCATGTCCCCCCAAAACTTCCATGTCCCAGCTGCTTTCGGAGATTAGAGTGGGCCGGCCCAAAAATTGCCTCCAGCCCACACAAGTGCAGTTCCGGTTCAACTCCTCAATAAGTTCCGGTCCAATTAATAAATAAATGTACATCTAGTCCACTTGAATGTTGAATTATTCTATCCACCAATGCAAATTTCTCGTTTCATTTACCTGAAATATATAAAACATTTGGCACTTGATGGTAATGGTTTTATAACCATTCCAGGCTTAGTTGGACCTAAAACAAGTATTATAGGTCTCAAACATATCATGAAATAATCACATTAAGCACGCAAAATCAATATGTTTTCGACAATTATCACAACCCCACACTCAATACTTGCTTGTCCCTAAGCAACAATTCAGACAAGAGAACGATAATTGGAGTAAACACATCACAGACCAGGGATACACAACCTAACTCAAAACACAAGACACACGACACACAAAACATAACATCAACACCAGAAATTTATCATTGTACTCTTGTGATAATCAGTAGTTTCTTTCTCAATGGACAAGTTGTGCTTTAATGGTCATACCTTTCACCCCACACTCAAGTTCTTTGCAACCATTACCATTGACTGACTCAAATCCATCAAAAACTCAAATAGCAACACTCAATTTTGATCGTCGGTAGTGGGTGATTAACAACTTATGGTGCAACAATTATTAGGAGAATCTAACCACATCAGTGAGGTGCATATCTCGTGAGGACAATCTGGCTTACTCACACCAATCATAAGCAATTAATTAAGCATGAGTCTCAAAAACTAATGGGGGAAGCCTTTCGCAAACAAGATTTTAATTTTAAGCACATCACTACCTTTTTTGACAAGGAGAGGCTTTCTCTCTTTCTGCTTTTGCTTGCCGAGAGGTCGTATTTAGTACAAGTGGGATTTGTTTCTTACTACCGGTGACCGAGCAAGAGCAATTTCTGCTTCTTAGCACTCGCATAAGGGCTTCTTTTAACTCCTTTTCCTCGGTCCGTGTGGAGGGTCATTGCATCCTCAAATGGCACTTCACTCAACTGGGGATCGTACTTGATAAGCAACATCGTACGGTCGCGAACCGATTCTCAATTGAATCTTTCCTCATCCCCATGTGCAATGAGTGATTGCCTCACACGATTTTGGCATTTTTACCCACACTTTAATTGTTATGGCAACTTTCTTAATTTTACTTGTCAGGTAGTGTTTTCTCATTTTATAAAGATACAGTTCACCCCATCATAAAACATTTAAAACAGAGAGACTCATTGCAAAATCAAAAGCTCACAATTGATGCAAGTAAGCACGGTATCCAAACATATCGAATGGTCAATGTTCTCCACCTAACTACTTCACCAAAAGTCGTTACACTATCCTCACAAAAGAGAATGTTGCTAAAAGAGTTGCTCATTCAAAGCATATCAAGTCAGTCAAAACATTCAAGCTCATTGTGAAGAACCATGCAATTCAACACTAGTGGGGTGATTTTTATGATTTCATTCAAGCACAAACTCATTTCAAGGCATCACAGTCATTTACATCATGTTACCACAAGAGTACAAGGTTTTGTTTTTGATTTTTCTGATTTTTAGGTGTTTTTTAGCCATTAGATTAACACAGGCAGCTTGCTTTTTACATAGGCAGACTGCTTTTTACACAGGCAAACTGCATGCAGTTTGGCTGTGCTCAACCTAATGGCAATTTTTTTGTTTTTTGTTTTTTTTTGTTTTTGAATTTTTTGTTTTTTTGTTTTTTTTTTCCGACCACATGACAAAAGGAACAAACAAATTTTTTTTTTTTTTTTTACCACATGCAACATGGACAAACAACACTAAGACTCACCACCCCACACTCAGGATGGAACATTGTCTCTAATGTTCAACTCCTAATCTATACATGCACGGGTTTGACACAACTAAAAAGAAAATTAAACAAAAGAAAAGAAAACTTACCTTGGGTTGCCTCCCAAGAAGCGCTTGTTTAACGTCCTCAGCCTGACGTTCATGGAGCTTTCAACCAATGGGTATGGAAAGGTATCCAGAATACCCTCCCGAGCAATGATAGAACGCATAACCTCCATCCAGCATATGAGTCACCTCTGCAGGGCCAGGTGTGCGAAAATTGGGTATGACCTTCTTAGCTGGCATGTTAGACCCTTTAGTGAGGCGTAGGTGGTACTGCAGCGCCTCAAGCAGGTACTCTTCCTGTTTCAATGTCAGTGAAGAAGGAATAATAACAGGAATATTGAAATCCTTACCCAAATATCTATACTTGAGGTGACCTGGCAAGGATTTCTGCCCTTGCTTTGATTTTAGAATCTGAGCAGATAGGATAGGTGATAGTTCTTCGGATGGTCCACTATCACAGGAAGAGGGATTTTTCCTTTCTCGAGCTTCACTTTCAAATTCATCATGATTATGGTCAACTTGAAAGACATTAAAAATTTCCTCCTCCTTACCTACTCGGAATGTCAACTTGCCTCTCCCAACATCGATGAGTGCATCACCGGTTGCTAGAAAAGGTCTGCCGAGGATTAGAGGCACTCCCCGATCATCTTCCATCTCCAGGATTACAAAATCTGTTGGGAGAATAAACTTTCCCACCTTCACCAATACATTCTCCACCACTCCTTTTGGAATTTTCACTGATCGATCAGCCAATTGGAGAGTGATCCGAGTAGGCTTAAGAACATCTCCCAATCCCAATTTCTTGTAGACTGAGTAGGGCATCAAATTAATTCCTGCTCCAAGATCACAAAGTGATTTATTGAATTCTGTACCTCCAATGACACATGGAATGGTGAAGCTGCCCGGATCATCCCTCTTCTTTGGTAATTTATTCTGAATCACAGCACTACATTCAGAAGTAAGGGTTACCTTCTCCAGATCAGCCCATTTGCGCTTCTTAGTCAGCAACTCCTTTAAAAATTTAGCATATGTAGGCATCTGTTCAAGTGCCTCCGCCAAGGGTATGTTAATCTGAAGTTGCTTGAAGATATTCACAAATTTCTTGAAGTTTGGGTCTTCCATGGGCTTCATTAACCTTTGAGGGAATGGTGCGGGAGGTTCATAAGGTTTTACCTCTTCATTCTTCAATTTTTCCACTTTTTGAGGTACACGGGCAGCATGCTTTTGCACAGGCAAACCGCTTTCATTTTGCCTGTGCAAGGCTGATTCTTCATTTTCTGCACAAGATCTTTCTCCCGGTGCTTCCTCTTCTGCCTCTGGTGCCTTTTTCGAGCTGCTAGGGTCTTCCAAGGCCTTTCCACTCCTCAATGTCACTGCTACAACCATGGCATCCTTCGGATTCCTCTCAGTATTTGCTGGTAATGTCCCAGGAATCCTGCCTTGCATATCTGCCAAAGTTTGAGCCATCTGTCCCATCTGCCTCTCCATAGCTAGCATAGACGATTGTAAATTATTGTTGATGGCTAGCTGTTGAGTGACAAATTGATCCAGACCCTTGAAATTATTATCTGTTTTCTGCATATGAGCCAAAATCAACTCCTCCAGTTGGGGCTTCTTCTCTGGTTGAGGCTGCTGTTGTTGAAAACCAGGAGGTGGGATGTTTCGAACACCAGCTGGATTATTGTTTGACCATGACATATTGGGGTGATGTCTCCATTGAGGGTTATATGTATTTGAATACATACCACCCTGACCTTGACTTCGCGGATTATTGATATACTGAATATCTTCCAACTGAGCAGCTCCCAGCGGACACATATCCCTATGATGAGGACCCTCGCAAAGTTCACATGAAGCAACCTCCTCTTGTCTACCCATAGCAATCTTGGCCAACCTTCGTTCGAGTGCATCAAACTTGGAATCCAGTTTAGCATCTATCTTGGCTTCTAGACTCGCAACTCTGTTTATCTCATGCAAGCCTCCTCTCCTTCGAATACTGGTCTCACTACCCCATTCAGTGGCTTCTGAACAGATCTTCTCTACCAGATCATATGCTGCTGGTGCCTCCATGCTTGTGAAACCATTTCGAGAAGCATTATTCAGGGCATCCCGAAACTCCCTTCTGATTCCATTGAAGAAAATAATGATCACGTTCCAATCTTCAAGACCATGGCTTGGGCATCTCATCAACAGCCCCTTGTAGCGCTCCCATGCCTCAGTCAGACTCTCATCATCAGCCTGCTTAAAAGTAACAATCTCTTCTTGCCTCTTCATTGCCAAGGCGGGTGGGAAGTATTTATCCAGAAAGACCTTCTCAAGCTGACCCCATGTCGTGATGGAACGGGGTGTTAAGTTTTGGAACCAGTGTGATGCATTCCCTAGCAGAGAAAATGAGAACATCCGAAGACGGATTGCATCATCAGACACGGTTGGGCTCTTCATAGTATCACAAATGCTCGCGAACCGGCGAAGATGCTCATGAGGATCCTCGGTGCTAGCCCCTGAGAACGTGTACCCATTAGTGATCATATTGATGAAGGCTGGGGCAATCTCCATGTTTGCATCCCCAGCCGGAATGACAACACATGAAGCTCGGGCTCCAGTCCTCCGATTCAGACGAGCCCTGATCGAACGATCCTGTTCAGCCATGATGACAGGCTCGATGATGCGCGGCGGTGGTGTAGGTGGTGTAGGGATGACAGGTGGTGTCACCTGCCTTCTCGGTTGACGATTCTGAGTTAGGGAAGGCCTAGGAGTTGTGGATGTGGTAGGCTGCTTCCCTAACTTGACCTGCTTCTTGTTCTGTCGGCAGGTCCTCTCGATCTCAGGATCTAGTGGCAGTAAATTGCCAGTCGTCCTCCTTGGCATGCACGAGGAGGATTAACCTAAAAAATTCACCTGCACACTAACACCCAGATCAAAACAGTTCACTCACAAAAATCGACAAAAATAAGGTATGGCAGTCCCCGGCAACGGCGCCAAAAACTTGATAGGTCAAAAGCGTATAGCTTCAATTCCTATCTTGTAGTAAAACCGGAAAGTCCGGGTATCGTCTCTCAGGGACTGGTACAACCTTAAGATTTACCGATTTAATAGAGCAAACTATAGGTGAAAATGGTTTAATGAGATTATTAACTACTAGCAAAATAAAATAAACAAATTAACTAAATGAAAGCTCAGGGAGAAAATCAATGGGAGAAAGCTCTGGGAGAAACACCGGGATTCACTACCTATCCTATCCAGATTAATTCACATACTCCAATCAATTTAATCCAACTCTCTACAGCCAGGATATCACGAATGTGCTAGCTATCCCTGTCGGGAATTACTACGTACTAAACAATTAAATCAAATCCTATTGTCGTAGCTCAATGACCTAATTATTTAGCCTGAAGATCGATATCCTATTTAAGACCGCATAGCACCTTATTTAATCCACTGTCGCTTCGATAAGTTACTATGTCACATGAAATAGGTTCAGTTATTAGGGTTTCACTGTCGCTAATAACCTAATCAACTACGATTCATTGTATTGGTGGCCAGTCAACACAAAGCATTAAGCAATTCCATGCAATAGAGATTGGAAGAAAAGAATCATAAATCAATCCATCAAATCAAGAAATAGCTACATCCTATGGTGTTTCCCCCAGAAATTGGGGTTTAGTTCATGATGAAATTAAGATAAATCGATAGGGTTTTGTTCATCATGTTCTAAAACAACAAGAAACAACTAATTAGGTTTAGAAAATCCAACCAACTAATCGCTCTCGTTGAATTCAGCTCAAGCCGCTTGAGAGAAGTCGATCGCCGATGGAAATCGACTGATCGCCTTTTGCTCTGCTGCCTTGCGCTTTCTTTCTCTTTTCCAAGAATTCTGCCCGCGACCCTCTGGTCCTCCCAGCTGCTGCGCGCTTTTTTCTTTTCCTTCTATCCGCCTCAAATTGCTTTTATTCCCTTCCGTGTCCTTCTGCTTTTCTTTTCTCCACAAGAATTCTCCCCTCTCTAAAATTCTGTTCCGTCCCCTCTCTAAGCTGCTGCCCCCTTTCTCTCTTTTTTTTTTTTTTTTATTTCCCTCGTTCCCCTCCAAATCCACCTCGTGTCCCCCAGAAATTGGCCTCCAAAGAATAATCATGTCCCCCCAAAACTTCCATGTCCCAGCTGCTTTCGGAGATTAGAGTGGGCCGGCCCAAAAATTGCCTCCAGCCCACACAAGTGCAGTTCCGGTTCAACTCCTCAATAAGTTCCGGTCCAATTAATAAATAAATGTACATCTAGTCCACTTGAATGTTGAATTATTCTATCCACCAATGCAAATTTCTCGTTTCATTTACCTGAAATATATAAAACATTTGGCACTTGATGGTAATGGTTTTATAACCATTCCAGGCTTAGTTGGACCTAAAACAAGTATTATAGGTCTCAAACATATCATGAAATAATCACATTAAGCACGCAAAATCAATATGTTTTCGACAATTATCAATATGATTCCCGCATCTAACAGTTTGAGAACTTCTTTCTTAATGTCTTCCCTTAGGTAAGGGTTCATACATTGCTAATGTTGTACAACGGGTTTATCCTAATCTTCCATTAGGATTTTATGAATAAAATATGAAGAATATATCCCTTGAATGTTAATGATCTTCCAAGCGATGAGTCTCTTATGCTTTCGATCTAGCATTATCAAACTCTCATTTTGCTCATGAGTTAGAGAGGATTTAATGATCACTAGTAATTTTCACACTCCACTTAGTAATGATATTCAAGGTGTGTCGATAAGGGTTTGAGCTCCAATTTATAAGGTTAATCATATGATGCTTTGATTGTAGGAATAGTTGGTATTTGTTCCGGTTTCGCTTCCTCTCCTGTCATGAACCATTCTCCGTCAAAGTTTTGCTGCTGTGATTCTTGTTCCAGCCCTTCTTCTGCATCCTTGAATCCAGGGATCAAGCATACTTTGAGAGGGTCATTAGAAACATATGCATTCATTGAAGATATATTTACATCTAAATCATCACATCCACTGTCATGGATGTGAGCTTGTTGCATACCATCCTTCATTCTCGACGTAACACTAGTGGAACCCATCCTAAGTGTGAGTTTCGCCCCATGCATGTCAAGGAGGGATTGGCCATCGCTAGGAATGGATGACTCAATATCAATGTAGAATTAAACTGGTTGTATCCATGACAAATGAGAATGTGAATGGTCCTAATCTACCATGATATCCTCCCCAGTGCCTCTGGGTGCACAAGGATTTATCTACCAACTGGATAGTCATGGCGAGTGTGTGCTAAGCAACCCAATTGCAACTTTTTTGAATAGTGAGTAGGGCATCACGTTGATGCTTTCACATGAATCGACCAGAACCTTAGGCACGTTAGACATGCCAATATTGCAACGCAAGGTGAAACTCCTTGGGTTCCTTAGCTTTTAAGGAAGTTGGCGTTGGTTTAGTACTACTGAAAACTAAGCTCCAAGATGAGAGGATATATCTCCTAGCTTACTCTTCAAAAGCACCTTAATGAAGGCCATATTGATATTAATCGTCCTGAGCATTTCTAGGAACTTTAGAAATATGCATCACATTGTGTCTTACTCTAGTTGAGCCTATAAATGGAGGTGCTTTATACTATGGAGCTATAGTGATATGATCTGCGGTTTGCTCTTTTTCTTACACTAGGTCATGAGTCGAGGGTTGAGTCGGGTTGGCAATGTGTCAGACACAAACACCCAAAGAAGTAAGATTAGATGGTGTGTGACGCCTGATTCCATTGGAATACTATTTTCTCAACTGAGAGGTGGTTTTTGAGGTAGTTTCGCCTTACCTTTTCTTAGAGTGATGATCTCTAGAGGGGTTCATCGATTGTACCATTGGTTGTATCATGTAGCTCTTTAGGTTGACGTTTAGGAATGTTTAACAACTTGAGCGCCCTTGTCATGGCATCTTGATTTTCTTTTAAGTGCTTTTTTCATAAGATGATTACAACGTGCTTGAGCTCCTAGTGTATCCTTTACTTCTGATACGTCCTCCTCGATAACTTTTTTTATTATCTCTTATTGGTTATACGATTGTGAGATTAAAGTGCTAAGATATCGTGGGGAAAGACCTCTTTGTCTTCCATTTTATTTCAATTAGGTTTGGCAATTAGAGCATAGAATTCCACATCTAACTTATTGACATTGTTCTCTGGCTCTTTAGGATAGGCAAGTTGAGCTTGTTAGGTGACTATTTTTTATCCATCCTTTGTTGATGTTTTGACAACAACATGTAAGGATTCAGATTTTTCTCAATGGCATGCACTTGTTCGAGGACCGTCCTCCCTGCCCATTTCTTAGTTTTGCAAGCCATGGATATATTCATAGTGTTCCATTGCCGATTCCACATAGTACTGAGTAATGTTCCTTTTGTTGGCTAGTCGATAATTTGGTCCATGTCAACATTTAACTCTTGCAAGAAGTCTCTTAGAGGAGAAGGTGGGTCAAATATCCCTTACCATAGATTATGCCTTTGTTTTCTAGTAGTTCTATAGTGCTAATGAGTTCAGAACTAGCATATGTGATTTCTTTCAGAGCAATGATGGATGCCATGTCAACTGCTTTGGGGTGAAAGAAGTCAACCAAAGTGCGTGAAGAGGCTCAATTTATAGTGTTTATTACTCAATATATTATACATTTACCCTTCTATTGATGCATCTTTAGTGGATTTTGGTATATTTTATACTAGTTTTTCACCGCCCCGTTGGCCGGTTTAATCTTAATAATATACTAAATAAAAACACACAGTTAAGCATTGCAACTTTATGACATGGTATCAGAGCCTCATTTGGCCAAGTGGTCGTGTGTTCGAATCTCCACGACCCTCAATATTAACAGTTGATTAAAGCACAATGTATGGTGATCGCCTGTGCAAATTTAAAGCCCATGGGTTGGCTTTCGTGTAAGTGGGTGTGTTAGAGAATGGTATAAGATCCAACATAACCTTATCCCAAAAACTCGAGTTATTGGTACCAACTCGTTTGTGGCCAAGAATGTTCACTCTCTCTGCTCCATCTTACACTCTTTTTCCATAAGAAATTTTTGGCAACAAATATTAACCGACATTTTCTCCCTTTGATATCTAGCCTCGTTCTCTCTTCACTCAAATAGTACAAAAATACATTCAAGATCTATAGTAGGCCTGTTGACAAATAGTTACGAAATTCATCCCCCATTAATATATTGTACACTTTTGTGTACTTTTCCCGAATTCAAAATCTCTCTTCTATACTTAACTTGCGGTAAGTGCATTAGTGTAAATGCTCCACCTTTATTTTCTCCGATAGAGGGATATGAAACAGTCCTTTTGCTGTATTTGTTTTTGTTTCTCTCCTTGCTCAGTCGTAGCCTTCTTCCCCTTCGGTGTACTCAATCTCAATAGTTTTTCCATTTCATTCTCTTCCATCCCACAAACCACACCCTTTCTTCCCACTTCTTTTTTCTTCGTCGTTTTTCTCTAGGAGGGATCTCTTCCCTAGTCTTTTCTTCACATAATCACATCAGTTTCTCTTCGTTCTCCACTAAACCAAAAGCTCTTTATCTAATTCAATTCTCTTGTCCTTATCGTCCGATATTGTGGGTTAATCCTTTCCTTCTCTATTTTTCTTGATGTTGCATTTTTATTCAATTGAAAATTAACCTCCTTTGCTCATCGAGATTTGAGGTCCACTTAGTAGTAACACTTTTGAGACTAAGGTTTTTTATTTGATTTGTTCGCCTTTGGTTACTTTGTTAAACTGATTGCATGTACAATTGATTTCTTCTACATAGCTTGGACATTAGACTAAAAACAAATCTTTAGGGGCAAAATCTCCCGATTCCAACTGCTGGCAAAGTCTTCACAAATCTTGGTTTCATTTAATATAAGAATACACGATATATGGAAAGGGATGCGGGATATTACCTGAAAGTCTAGGGTTTATATGCTAGAGGTGGAATTTCAAAATTGTAACTTCTTCCTGACAAGTGCTACTATTCTTTCGACAAGTGCCTGACAAGTCTTGGGTTTAGTTTTTAATTATAATTAAATTAATTGTTGATTATAATTACAGCCACAACCACTAATAAACTTTTGTGTACGTTTTAATCGCACATAATTTTTTATCCTACATTATAATTAAATCAATCATCTAACTAACCGTTGGGCTGTGTCAGCATGCCGATGATTCTGATGGGTCAACGCAGGCCAACGATTCCAACTCTCCTACGTGTCTCTTTCGACTATTCAAGAAGGCGACGTCTGTACATATGGCCATGATTCTTTCAATTGTAGTATCTTCTTCACAGGATAATATTCCTCTCGTAGTCCTTACTATTCCACTAGTCCCCAGATCCGATATAGTACATGAACAATTGCTTTGTTTCTTAAAAGAAAAGATGGTTGAGAGCGGCAATGTGAACGGGGAACTTCCCTACCACCTTCACAATCACCATGTCCTCCATGTTGTCAAACGATCAAATAAAACATGAACGCACACGAGATTTACGTGGTATCCTCAACGAATATCGTTGAGACTAATCCACGGAGAGGGTGAAGCCTCTAAGAGTCAATCTTATTACGTAGGCTGTGATTCCTTAGGTTTACAGAATGACCAGTACAACATATATATACTGGCCTCAGGCTGACCCTAAGGAGGTAAGATTGTAATTAATCGTAAATAACAGGATGTCTAATTACAATCTAATACACGAACTTCTAACACATGTCTCCATGGGCATGGCTTTCATTATGCCCTCTAAGTTCTTCGACAATGTCGACTATCCTAAACATCATAACGGTGCCACGAAGGTCGAATCCTCCCGCCAAATCATTGGGTAGCCGTCGTATCTCTCTTCTCTTCCCCTTCCCCTTTCCATTCATATTTCTTTATTTTTAATAAGAAAAGTTTATTCCAACAATTTATTGTATATCTTCTCTTTTTATAAGTTTGAGTTAATTTATCTAAGATAAATAAAAAACACAACAATTACATCAGAGGTTCTTGAAAGCTCAAGATAGAACAAATTCTTGTGAGCATATATTGATGGAAACCAACTTTCGGTCGATTTCTATTATTATTATTATTATTATTATGTTAGAGAAATTAGTCTTTTAGTCGTATAAGGTTAATTATTAGGATTTTCTGGTTCTATTCCTATATAAGTGTACTCGATTATTCATTTAACAATCAGATCAACAAGTATTAAGAAAAATCTACTAAACTCTAATCTCGCTATCCTCTCAATTCTTGATCTTATATCCCTCTAAAGGCTTTGGCTGATTCTCTCTTGTTCTTTCTCCAATCCCTAATTCTACCCCAATTCTCCACAAATTCCCAATTCCCCAACACCACAACCAGATCTGATAGAACCCTAATAAACAAGTTTCTATCATATATCTGACTCCAAGTTTCTAGTTGGTATCATGACTCAGATCTTTCCAAACAAATCCACTTCCGCGTACCTCTGTTTCGGCCTCCCCTGTACTTGCAACTGATTCCATTCAGGCATATAACATCATTATGTGAGCATGTAATAATTAGATTTTGTTGTCTTCATGGCTGTCCTTTTTCTAATTTTGAACAAAAGCTCAATTCCAAACTCTTAGTATCATATCATATGCCTTACAATCGACTCCACCTCATTGCACCTTTACTTCACCTCCCCTATCCTTGCAACAAAACATGTATGAATCTGCAGCTCTCAATTAGTATCATATATCTTCTTTTTTTAATTTCCGAATCTGAATTTCATCAGCGCTATACCAAGCTTATTTCTCTGCAACAAAACATGTATGGATTTGCAGCACTCACTTATTTCTGGCTTCTAGTCTTGCTCTGATTTGAGTTAAAGTTTGCAGGGGAGTTCAACCAAGAGGTGAAATCGAGAAGGAAGGACGACCGAATCATCCATCGACATCTACGGTTGTAAAATCTACCAGATTAAATTCATTTCAGTTTTTAAATTTCTGGGTTTGTTTGCTTTGTTCAATCTTGTATTGGTGTCTATGCTATGTTTCTTGGCAACTAAATCTGTAGGGGAGGTTTCGAACTGAAAAGTAAAGGGAAAAAGGGAAGGTTGTGTTTTTTTAATTGCTTTGTTATATTGGGCTGGGCTGATTGCAAACATAAATTGGGTTATTCGTTAAATTGGTTAGCATGTGGAACTAAATAGTACTGAATAATAAACTAATAGGTGTTATTGTAATTATAATTACTCTTTTACTTATAATTAATAAAAAATTATTAATAGGTGTGACTACAGGTGTATAGCGTACGTCTGGTGTACGCTAGCCTGAACCATATAATGTAATTTTTAGGGTGTGTTCATCTTGTGGCAATTTTCTAAAATACAATTATCGTGCAAATTATGAAGGATGTTAAGATACCACAACAAAAATCGTTCATGATTCCGCAACCCATCTTATTTTGAAGTGCTTTTTCACCTTGTTCATTACAGTAAGTGCTCTTTCAACACTTTCAATGACAACAAATAGCAACAAATATCTTTAAGTTTTGAGTTTTTTATTATATTAAACTCACTTACATAATTTATTAATTGGAAGTTAAATAGAGATCACTAAGCATTCCTTTTTTATAAAATTATCCACAATAATATGGAGATTTTGTACTCAATCTACAAACACATAATTTTTTTTTACTCTACACTTTTTGGGCCAAGGTGGTGCAAATGACACCTTGGCCACAAGTGGCTCCGCCATTGGTAGGGTGGGTATTTGGTCAAAATCCATTTGTCTAGTATTGCTCAAGCACAATTCACATATGATATGTCAGTATTTCGGGTACCTGATAATACTCTCTATGAAGTACGCAATATGATTTCAAACTTCTACTAGGGACAAAGAGGGCCAGAGCATCGAGTACTTTGGATCAGCCGAGAAGGTTTGGTGGTAGCGAAGTAGAATGGATGTCTTGGTTTCCGAGACTTGAGGGTTTCAATACTGCTTTACTTGCTAAGCAGCTATGGAGACTTCATCAACGCGAGGGATCACTGATTGCCTAAATCTTTAGGGCAAAGTACCACAAACATGCTTCTATCTTGGACGCACAACTTGGCCATAATCCTAGTTTCATTTTGAGGAGACTCCTTAGCGCACAAGAGTTCCTAAATAATGGATTGAGATGGAGAATTAGAGATTGCTTAAGGGTACGGATCTGGGAAGACAAGTGGCTCCCTTCTAGCACTGGCGGATATGTGGAGTCCGCCCCTATGGGACTTCCCGTAGACTCCACAGTCTGAGAGTTGATATTCTAGGAAGAAGAGAGGTGGGATGAAAACCTGATCAACAACTACTTCCATGAAGACATTTCTGAGATGAACTGGCAAATCCCACTTTGTGGTATTGGGGAAAAGGACCAGCCGATTTGGGGGAGTAGCAAGGCATGGGAATTTACTGGGAAAGAGGGGTACTACCAGTGGGTATAGACCAGGATGGAGCAAGGCGTATTTCCAGTGGAAGGTGAAAACGACAATTTGGAAAAAGCTCTAGGCAATGAAAGTTCCCTCAAACATTAAGCATTTCATGTGGCGTTTTGTGAGGGATTGTCTACCGACAGGGGATCATATCTCCACCAAAAGCAAGCGATGGGATGATAAGTGTGCATTCTGTGATATCTAGGAAACATAGGTTCATCGCTTTGGTGGGTGGGATGGTATTCTCGAATTTGGCGTGCCTCCAGCTTAGCTCCTTGCTTTACTGCTCGAGGAAGTGATGGTTGTTATGCTTGGATGAAGACTGTAATGGAGACGATGGATTCAACAACTACCACAAGATGGGTTACTGTCTTGTGGTTCCTGTGGAAGCAAATAAACTCACATTTGTTTAACGGTAAAAAGCTACCAGAAAATGAGATTGTAAGTAGAGCCGATATTTTCCTTGATGAATACCATCAACACCAACAACGCAGGCAAGTGGAATGGAGGTACCATACTCCTAACCATTGGGAGAAGCCGCATTACAGTCGAGTAAATTAACACGGACGCATGCATTCTTGAAGGCGGAGGAGCTTTCATGGGGGCAGTAGCTCCAGATGCTGCAGGAAACTTTATTTTCATAGTTGCAAAGAAAATAAATGGACATTGGGAAGTGAAGATGGCAGAGGCACTTGCAGCGGAGATCGGAGTCCAGCTTGGCCGCCAATGGCACCTTGAAAACCCGGTACTTGAAATGGATTGTCTTGAATAGGTGAATAAACTTGATACATCAGGTTCAATACCAACGGAAATTGGCACTTTATGTCAAAACATTCGTCGCTACTAGGGATGTCAATCCAACCAGTAACCATGGGTACCCTACCCGACCGTAACTGGTCAATGAGGGTAATTACCCGCTTTGACGGGTTAAGGGGCAGGTACGAGTAATACCCGGTTTCAAAATAAAGGGTAGGATAAGAGTATGGTAATCAATAATACCCGCCCTGTTATACCCGCCCCGCTAACCAAAGGTTCAATATCCCTAGCCCTAACCCTACCCAACAGTCGATTTTCCTTGCCCACACACAACTGAGGTGCTTTCTCAGGGTTTTCTTGAAACTTTACTTTCTGGGGATATTGCACAAAGATATCTACGATTACCTTGGATAATTGTTCTACTAATGATGCCTTGATGGATGTCATGAAGCATAAGTTAAGCAGTGAGCATTTGTTGTGGTCTGGTTCTAATATTGTCTTTGTTGTTTTTGTTTATGTGTGGATTGTTGAAGCTAGAACAAATATGATGTATTTTGTTTTTGTTTGTGTGGATTGTAGAAGCAAGAACAATTATTATGTGTTTGCTGTTTTTATTTGTGTGGATTGTTGACCTAGAACAGTTACAAGTATTGAGAATTTTTAATGGACAACAGTATGTATGTGCATATATGTGTATAAGTTCATATTTTAGGATTCGTACCCATGGTTACCCGAATACCCTTGGTTACCTGGTGGGTAGGGTATGGTTATATCATTTTCATACCCGGTGGTTATTTGGCCAGGTATTTTAGGAGGCTCTACCCAGCGGGTTAGGAGTTGGTATATGGTAAACCCGCACCCGACCCCTACCCATTGTCATCCCTAGTCGCTACTTGATAGAGATGCGGAATGGGAGTTGTCGCAATCGCCCCTCCGAGATCGGGGTACCCGTCGCGAACTGCTCGGAGTCGCCATCGATCTTAGATGTGGTGGATCGAACACCATTTGCTCCGGTTCCAACCTTAGGGTCAGAACCGGGATTTGATCTGCGAAATTTTAGAAATTCGGGGTTCGGTAGTACGGTTACGTATGAGGAAGTGTATTCACACCTCACAACGCCCCAAATGGGTACTACTTAAATCGATAAGTTTTTTTAAGAATTGGATGCCTACGTACCCGAGTTAATCGGGATCAAAGTCCACGTACTTCGTTCAAAATGAGAAGTTCTTTTTTAAAAAAAAAGGGACCTAAACACGTTTCTATTGATACGCGATTAGGAAGGTATTGAGTTTTTAAGGGGTTATGTACTTTGATGTTGTAATGTGGTAGTCGAAAGGTTTGACGATTTTTATGGAATTCCAACTTAAGAGATCATCATGGCCTATTGACCATGATATCATATTAAGAGATTTTATCATGTGTAAGAATTATTAAGAGTTTTTCTATGAAAACATGTGTTATGAATAACGATGCTCTAGTGGAAACTGATAAAATATTTTAATGTTTTGAAATGCTTTAAATAATTGTAGTTAAGTCAAACCAAGATATAGACATGATTAGTTGATATAGGTTTTGCGTATTAAGCTTAGATTGAATAACAAGCAGAAAAAGGACAAGTAATAAGCAGTAGACAGTAGTCTTATTGGTTTAGTGTAGACTCGATATTTGTTATAACTTAAAGTCAACAGAGGGCTAATTGGGTCAATTCGCGAGACAGTCTTAGAACTAAAGGGAAAGGTTGAAATCCCTAATCTAAAACACTCTCATACAGCCGTCCAAATCCTTTTCTCTCTGTCTCGCCTCACTAAAACACGAACAAGAAAAGGGAACCCTAGCTCTAATGTCGATCTCCTTCCCGCCTCTCGTCTTCCATCGTTGTTCTCATTAGGCCAGAGTAAAAGGAAATAACAAATCGACTCTCCTTCTTCTCTCGACCTCAACCTGCCGATCCGGGATTGAAAATTTCAACGACGATGACAAAAACGACGGCGTCCGGGAGATGAGCGAACGGTGAGTGGTTTTCAACCATTGCATGTTTAGATTTGGGTTTCTAGGGTTATTTGGAGTTCTAATCATTTTCCATTTTATTTTTGGGTTTCGACGAAAGTCGCCGGCGGGGAGGAGGCTTACCACCAGCGACTGGCGCGGGAGTAGTCGCCGTCGGTGAGAACTCCGGCGACAGGTAAGGGTACTGTGAGTTTGCTTGTGATAATGTATGCTAAGGGTGGTTTTAGTAAAAATGGGTTCAGATTAGAGGGAAGCCCAAAATACCTTCCAACAATGGAGTCTTGTTCTTGTGTCTAGTTTTTAGTTGTGTTTGTCAAATCTGACTTTCGATGACGATGAGCTTTGCTGTTGGTTTGAGCTTTTATACTAGGTGGAAACACTAGTAAAATTTAAACAAGTAAATGCAAAACAGGAAAGATAATCAAGTGTGTTTTTGTTATGATATGCTTGCATAACAAAGCTTATTAATAAGAGCAAACAAAGAGTAAAGAACCAAAGATTTGACTTTGATTTCTTTGGTTCATTAATGGTTATTACCATCTTGTTAACTGATTGGTGTTAGATTGGTGTTTGGTTCGTATTTCGGTTCCTGATGGTTTGATAATTTTGATAACGAAAATCTGTGTTTAGAACTGGGTTGTGGGACTTGGAACTACAAGACAATGCAGAATTTCAGTTTAGAGTTCCAGATTTTGTTAGAATGAACAGATTGGAAAATTAGCTTCTAAAGACCATAAACACTGCTATTGCTTGCTTGTACTTTGTCTTAATTATTTTAGTGTCAAATTTGAGTTGTTATGGTTGAAAATGGAAAGATGTGGACCTGCTTATGTTGGCCAAATCTGAGTTTTGGTTGCTTTTGATATTGACACTTGGATTGACTCGGGTATGAATTTAAAAGCAAAACAATTATGATAAAGGAAAGAAAACAACTTTAGGTTGCTTTGTGAAATGCGTAAACATAGAAGAAATGTAGAGAAGTTGTAAATAAAGCAATAGATCTGATTTTGCCTTTGTTAGTAATTTTTGTAGCAGTGATATTGCTATTTTATCATTTGCCTGGACATTCTAATGAGTTTTACATAGTAGAGAAACAAGATGATTATGGATGATATTGAACTGATTATTGAGTTTTTGTGTTACCAACCGTTGTTTGAGGTTTGGGCCCGAAATGCCCGCCTCAACCCCGTTACACCTTCGCCCACCATATTTGACTTGTGGAATAGTTCTAATTTTAAGGACCTATTTGGTTATTTCTAACTAGAGACGAGGGAAGATGATGAGCAGAAGTGAGTCGTGGCTGCAGTTCGAAATAGGCGAGGGAAGATGATGAGTAGAACTGAGTGGATTTGTGCTATAAACTGAGTTTTCAGCACCGGAGTGGCTGGCATCAGTCTTCCAGCACGGATCGTCAGTCGAACTTGCCCTTCATTCATAATCAAATTGGAATGGCAAGAGTGTCTTTTTCTGCTAAACGTGTTATCGGGGACCTTCCTTTCCTCGACTCTTCGCCCTTTGCCAGACTATTGGATTCTTGTGTTGCGTCCAGGTCCTCGACAGATACCCGTCGTGTCCATGCGAGTATCATCAAATCTCGGTTTGCATTCGAAGTTTTTATCCAGAATAAGCTCATTGATGCGTATGGAAAGTGTGGTTGTGTGGGGGATGCTCGGAAACTATTCGATAGAATGCCCGTCAGAAATACTTTCACCTGGAACTCAATTGTGAGCACTTTATTGAAGTTGGGTTTCCTTGATGAGGGTGTGCGGTTATTTGAGGCTATTCCTCGGCCAGATCAGTGCTCATGGAATATAATGGTTGCTGGTTTTGCACAACATGATGAGCTCCAACAAGCTCTGGGTTATTTTGTTGGGATGCATAGGGAAACTTTTGTGGTTAATGAATATTCTTTCGGCAGTGGTCTAAGTGCTTGTGCAGGTCTGAAGGACCTTAAAATGGGTACCCAACTTCATGCTTTGGTCTTCAAATGTCACTACTATGTTGATGTATATATGGGTTCCGCTCTGGTTGATATGTATTCTAAATGTGGTGTTGTGGATTGTGCTCTGAAGGTTTTTGATGAGATGAAGGAAAGAAACATTGTTTCTTGGAATAGCTTGATCACTTGTTATGAACAAAATGGTCCAGCAAGGAAAGCTTTAGATGTGTTTGTTAGAATGATGGAGAGTTCCTTCGAACCAGATGAAGTTACTCTGGCTAGTGTGGTTAGTGCGTGTGCAACCATGGCGGCATTGAAGCATGGTATGGAGATACACACTCGTGTAGTGAAATCTTATAAATTGCGAGGTGACCTTATTCTAGGAAATGCATTGGTGGATATGTATGCAAAATGTGGTAAGATTAGTGAAGCTAGACGTGTTTTTGATAGGATCCTTGTGAGGAATGTGGTGTCTGAAACATCTATGTTGAGTGGTTATGCTAAAGTTGCAAGTTTTAAATGTGCAAAACTGATATTCACAAAGATGATGGAAAGGAATGTGGTGTCCTGGAATGCTCTGATTGCAGGCTATACTCAGAATGATGAGAATGAGGAGGCGCTCAAACTCTTTTGTATGCTGAAACGGGAATCTATTTTCCCAACTCACTACACCTTTGGTAATTTACTGAATGCTTGTGCCAATCTCGCTGATCTGCAGGTTGGCCGGCAGGCCCATGCTCATGCTTTGAAGCATGGATTTGGGTTTCAATTTAATGAAGATCCAGATACTTTTGTCGGGAACTCACTTATAGACATGTACATGAAATGTGCATCGGTTGAAGAAGGTCGTCAGGTTTTCAGAAGCATGGTTGAAAAGGATGTTGTATCGTGGAATGCTATGATTGTAGGGTGTGCACAGAATGGGAATGGGCTAGAGGCTCTTGCTCTATTTAAAGAAATGCTTGTGTTTGAAGAGAAACCAGATCATGTCACTATGATCGGTGTTTTGTGTGCTTGCAGTCATGCAGGACTTATTGAGGAGGGACGTCGCTACTTTCTCTCCATGACAAGGGACTATGGGTTGGTGCCAATGAAGGACCATTACACATGTATGGTAGACTTACTTGGTCGAGCAGGTCATCTAGATGAAGCCAAGAGTTTGATAGAGACAATGCCTGTAAAGCCCGATGCAGTTGTATGGGGTTCTTTGCTTGGTGCATGTAAAGTGAGTCGCAATATTACTCTAGGGAAGTATGTTGCAGAAAAACTTTTGGAGATTGATCCCACAAATTCTGCACCTTATGTTCTTCTTTCAAATATGTATGCCGAGCATGGCAAATGGGGGGATGTTCGAAAAGTGAGAAACATGATGAGACATCATGGAGTTATTAAACAGCCTGGTTACAGTTGGATTGAGATCATGGGTGACATGCATACTTTCATGGTGAAAGATAAAAGGCATCCACAGAAGAGGGAGATTTTTTCAGTGTTAAAAGACTTAACTGAGCAGATGAAGCTAGCTGGATATATTCCATCAATGGTTTAACGTCTACAACTTGACTTCTCCATTGAAGGTCTGACTATTCATTATCTTAAATGTATTAGATTTGCAGATGTTCTTTGTGATGTTGTCTAATTGAAAAATCTTACTGTTAATATTTCAGCTGGTGTTCGAAAAGTATTCATTCCAACAAATATGTGGCTCATTGGGGTTGCTAGCAAAGGTGAGTAGATAATGTTCTGTGTGTTTCATTCCTGCTGAACATACAGCTCATGGTTATTAGCATTCTTATTTATCTCACAGAAATGTTATCTCTTTAATATGGCAGTAACAACATCATGGCTTGGATATTGTTGTATTGTCTATATTTTTCGTTTGTTATTCCATACCACAGGTAACTTGCCACACTGGTTCTTCTACATTGACCTGTGACCATACATTGTTAGATAAGATTAGGACCTATTGATATTTTATGCTTCTGCAGTTCGGAACAATATATTTTCTTTTGTCAGGGCTTTGGTTACTATGCCGTCTCTTCTAGCTTCTCTTTCTCTTTTATCGATTTACACATGTTGAACTATTTGTTGGAGGATTTTCAATGGTTAGTTTGCCTTCCCTCCAACTTCCTGCGCCCATTCATAGTAACGACCTGTCCCCTTAAACATCATGTTAAAAAACACCATTGCGTTCTTTTTAATGAAGGGAAAGATGCCACAGACAATTTCGAGGACATTGGGCACAACCAAGACGCGAGGGACCAGCTGAAAACCTTCTGCATAGGAGAGCTAGATACATCGACTGCACCACCAGCCATCCCATAACTCACAATTGTCTCCAAAGGCCAGACATCATCAGATACCGTGAAGAAGCTCAAGGACTTGACGAAACAGTACTGGGTTGTACCTGTAGCAGTAGTCGGCATCTCTGCGGTGGTTGGCGGCATCTTGTACTCGTGTAAGAAGTAGAATCCTTCCCTTCTATGACAACACCTCTCTATCAGTTTCTTAGAATGTTGCCGCAACAAAAATTTTGGAACTACTGCACAATGATTATTTGGAAAGTGGCTCTCATCTCCATCATTTCCTGTAGTTTTTACTTTTTACTTTGTTACAATTCGATTGTCCAGCAAGATTGAATCATATGAATGAGTGCTGATAGAAGCTTTAATTATGGTTTGGGATGGATCATTTGATGTCGGTATGGTTTCTCTTGTATTTAGAGGAGGCATATACTAATGGTTGTTGACGCCTAGATTTGATTGTCATTAATAGTTGGGTGAGCATCCTGAGGATTGTTACAGATGATAATTACCAATTTGGAATCGAACAACTGTGATTGAACTTATAATAACCTTTCTATATAGCTAATTGTAGTTTTCTTTAGAATTTATACTTCCGGGCTTCTGGCATGTTTCAAGATCACATTGCATGTAATTTTCATGCCACTCATCCATATTTGATCTATGCATGTAATTTCAAACCAAAAGTTATTGCACTTGATTAGGTTTCCCTGATATGATTGGTAGAATAATCCTGAAACATATTCAGAATCCTTGTCATTCGTATATTGTTTCTTTCATTGATATGCTGCCTTTTTTTTTGGCCAGCTATCCTCTAAACGATGCTGCCGAAACAGTAAACGTAATGGGATCATCTATTAGCAGAGTTATGGGTGGAACAAGTGGGATAATGTAATTGGGTTGCTTCATTTCTTTGCTCCCTTTTTTCTTTCCGTAGTTATCATAATTTTCTCATTTAAGTAATCAACCTGCATTTGGCTTTTTGACGCAGGTACACTATACTTTGTAAGGCAGCTTATGCAAGCTTGAAAGCAAATGGACAGTCAGATGTTACATCAAATCATTGTAAGTTGAGATTCCAAATCCAATAGTCCTTGGTTCAACGCCCATAACCCTAACTCTCCTTTCTGGATCAGGGGCTGAAGCGCTGGAAGCTTCAACTACTGCAGTGAGTAAATACGGTGGTGCTATTGCTGGTTTTCGGACATTGCTGGATGCTCTTATTCCTGCTTCTCAAGCTTTGCAGCAGGTATAGTGTCAAAAGCGATCCTTGTAAATTTTCTATTTTGTTATGTTTATGGTTAATAACAATCAAACTATTCTACAACAGAGGTTAAAGGCCGGGGATGATACTGTCACTGCCTTTGTTCTTTCTTCAGAAGCAGCCTTAGCTGGTGCTGAATCAACCAAACTGATGCAAGCACAGTTAACTTAGAAAAGAAACAGAAATCTTATGAACCCCTCCCAATCATCAACCTCCCGCTGCTCATTGCTTTCTTGTTGCACAGAATTGTGATAATCGAAACAATATGGCCCAGCATAATTTAGAAGTTTGGTTTACATGCTCCATATTTTCACTTCCCTGCATAGTTTCCACTTTGTATACAATTCAAGTATTCTGATACAACACCAATTGCAGGCTGGGCGGTCGAGTTATGTGTCGCCTGAGATAGTTGCATCAGTTCCTGATCCAGGAGCTATGGCAGCAGCTGCCTGGTACAGGGCTGCAGCATTGGCCGTCCGGAACACACTGGAGAGTTCCCTGCCTGCAGGTTCATCTGCTCCGTGACCAACAGTTTAATCTTTCTGACCTCTTTTACCTCCACTGTCTGGATCGTTTACTAACTTTCTGCGAATGAACCTTGTACACTCACCACACCTCCGGCTTCATGCTTAAGCTCTCCGCGAACGAGTTTTGTCCGCGAACGAGTTTTGTCTGTGTTCGAGATATATTGGTATCGTATGTTAATTCCATATTTCAAGAAAGATTAGAAAGAGCAAAAGCAGCGCTACCCCATCTCACTCCACTATGCTTTGTCGTATAGTGCGCTCTTCTACTGTCTTGTTAACCTTTTTTCATTTGCTTGACTTATATATGGGGTGGGTGTTTAACGGCTACTTAAACTTCTTAAGACATTGACTACTTCTCTTCAATATAGTCACAAAATGAGTGCAACTTATGCAACCAATTTTAAAACTACTCCTTGAATTTTGAATTTTAATTGATAGGATTAGTTTAATATGATGATATAACATAAAATCATAACTAATCAATTCATTATCCTGAGCCCTAAACCTTTAACTTCGAACCCTAACCCTAAGCTACAAATTGTAAATCTTAAATCCCAACCATAAATTTCTAAATCCTAAATCCTTCTAATCAAAGTAAATATTGAATGATTTTTGTGCAAGTGATGATTGACTTCATTTTGACATAAACCCCATGTTTAAAATGATGGTTGTGAGGCAAGTGCATTGTATGCATAAAAAAAATGAGTGCACCAAAGACGAAAAAAAAAGATGGCACCATATATATATATACTTTGGGGAGGGGAGGAGTAGCCCATTTCCCTTTTCGACTTTGTGCCTCTTCTCACTTCAACTTGCTGCTTCCTTGTGTGTTTCTTTTTCCTTTTGGGTGTTTTTGTTGACGTATGTGGTATGTTGAAGTTTGGTGATGTTGCTTCTTTCCTCCTTTCCACTTCGACTTCACTTGTTTTCTTTTTGCTGCTATTGGCGGCAGCTATAGTAGAATGTTTTGGGGGTTTTGGGGAGAAGAATAGGGAAAGGGAGTGAGTTTTTGTTGTCTCCTCTTTCTTTTGTTGTTGTCTGTGTGTAAGACATGAAAAGAATGTTTGCTGCTTTTAGGTCGCTGCAGCCCTGCTTTTAGTTTTTTGTCAGCTGCTGTCTCTTTTTTATTTTGAGCTTGTGTGTTTTTTAGGAGAAGGAAGAAGAAGAAAGAAAGAAAGAAAGCGATGGAAAGTTTTGCAGGGGGAGTTTTTGCAGAGTTTTGTTGTCTGTGTAAGAAGAGCAAGAGGAAGTCAGGAGCAGGAAGCTCGGGGAAGAAGATGAAGAAGTGGAGAGGAGAGAAGCCCCGTCCCTGTTTTTTGCTTTATTTTGTTTCTTGTTTTTTTTCTTCTTCTTCCCTTCTATCTGCCTATGTGTGATGAAACCAAGAGGAAGGCAGAAGAAGCTCCTTTCAATTTTATACAAGCAGCTTGGAGAGCAAGCTTGCTACAGTACTGGGTTGGGTCTGGTCGGGTCGAGTTTGGTCTGGTCAGACCTAACCGGGTTGATTAAGTTTGACTTTTGTTGACTGAATTGACTCTTTGACTTTCGGATTTGATTTGGGCCTAAATCTATTTTATTGTTGTATTGCGCTTGTAAATTTAATGCAATAACTACTTAACAATTATTATGTAAATTTATTTATGTTTGATTTTATTTCAATTAAGTTTAATATGATGCTTATTTATTTTTCTTAATTTGACTTATTTTTTATTGTTCAAAATTGAGGCACAATCATCGCAAGCTCCGAAGTCTTAGCGCCAATTATATGATCATCCCACAAGATGACCACAATGCTTGATTTGTCTAATCGAAGCAAGTCAACACTATCAAATTGTACCATGATTTGCTATTGCTAATAGCATTATTCCAAATTATACCAAATAAGATTTGCTTTTGCTAATCTCATTGAGTTATGGCAAACAAGACTCAATCAAAACGCTACAAATATGTTTTACCTGGAAGGTCATTTAAGATTCGCTATTGCAAATCTTAAACAAAAAACTAAATTTTTATTTAATTATATACGTTTTAGCCCGGACAAAAAGTGGTGTCTACAGAAGTTAGAGACATTGTCCCCGAACGAGTAGTACAACATCTCACCTGATGGCACATTCGAATACGAAATAGTTGTTTGGACCGAGAGACTCCATGTTTTCCTTTTCGATCAGTTGACAGCTGATAATGTAAATGCTATTTCTGAGCAATAAGAGCTTCTCGCAGGTTTCGATAAAAAAAATGATCCACTATTATGGTGGATGATGAAAAAATGACCCACATCCACCCATTTGTTTCGTTGTGGGTGGGTTGGTTGGGTGACAACGGATGGTGGGTGGTTTGACAGTTTTGGTGGGTCAAATTATTTTTAAATAATTAGATAATTATGAGCCATAAAAGTTTGCATACAACTAATTGAACATCAATCCTACAGATCAACAAAATTGATAGCTATTTAATGTAGCTTAATGCATAATCTACCACCAATTATCTCATTTGTGAACATAAAATATATATCATTGATAGTTATCATACTTTAAAATAATCAATTTTATATTGCAAATCAAGTAAAGTTTTCGACAACTATATTTGTCGACATGATGTTTTGTAAATTTTAGCGAAGAGAGGAAAAATAGATAAAAGTGTGATGAATTTCGTAACATTTGAACAATGTGCCTAATATAGATCTTGAATGTGTTTTTGTACTATTTGAGTGAAGTGAGAACGAGACAAGAGATCAAATGAACAAAATGTCGATTATACTTGTCGCCAAAAATTTCTTATGGAAGAAGAATGAAAGATGGAGCAAGACAGAGTGAACAATCTTATAGAAACACTAATCCTAATTTTGATGAAAATTTTATATTTTATTAAACTTCCAGCCCGCCAAAAATTCCCCCACAAAAAATCAACAATTCCTTCTGATTTTCCTTAAAAAAAAAATTAAAAGAGAGAGGAAATATATACTTTTTGGATGTTCAGTTTCTAAACGCCTAAACATCTTTAATTTTACTGTATCGTCTTAATTTAAAAATGAAAATTACATAACTGAAAACAAGACAAAAAAGTATCACAACTAAACACATTTTAATAAAATCCTTGACTTCATCTCACATCCACCGCCTCCCAATCCGCTGCCGCAGAAACCCTCCCTTTCAAACCATCGAGGCGTGGATGTCTCATCCCAACTACTAGCACTCAATTCGCACCACAGATATCATATCTTTCAGATATATCATTGTCCTCCCCCACCACCACCTGCAAGGAAGTGGTTAAGTATCATACATGATTCTCTCTCAAAAACTCAAGTTATCGGGACCAGTTGGTTTATGACATGATATCAGAGTTGGTTTGTCCTTGAGGTCACGTGTTCAAGAGTTGGCTTTCTTTTGAAGGGACGTGTAAGAAAGTGGTCAAGTGTCATGCATGAGCCTCTCTCAACAACTCGAGTTATTGGAACCAGTTAGTTTATGACACCACCCCCAATCCACCGCCGTATCCAATTATCTAATGTGTATGCCTCTTCTGTCCTACCGTCGCCGTGATTCTCCTCTGCAACCTAATATGCGTCGAAGGTAGAGGTGACTATTAGAGTATAGGTAGTACGAGTATTATTATGTTATACTACGAGTACTATTATGTAATTGAGCAGAGTTATATTCCTTATCAGAGTCGTAGAAGTTAGGTAATTTCCATATTAATATTAGGTTTATTATGATTTCAGTCTCTGTACTCTATATAAACCCTATGTGGTTCCAGTAATAATACATAAGAGTTTCTACCATATTTCCGATTTCCCAACATAGTATCAGAGCATGGTTACTGATAAAAAAAAACCCTAAACCCTTTCTTTTCCTCGTCAGCCGCCACCACCACCATGAGTTCATTCTCCCCCGGAACCCTATAGCCAACCCTTACTCATGTCCATCTCAATTATTAGTTGTTTTTGTAATTTTTGTGGTTGTCTTCTTCTCGAATAATTATCCCTAGTCCCTAGGCCTGTTGTTGGTCCGTTGGCCGGATTACAGTGAAGAAGTTGTTTGGGAAGGAATGGAAAATCCCCTGGTGTCCTTCCGTTCTTTTTCAATGTATTTGTCAAGCTGTTGCCGCCTACCCCGCTCGTTGTTGGAAGCTGCTTCGTTAGAGTGGGGAACGCCCTATTCCGTCTCCAGCTCACAAGTTCATTTTCGACGGGGAACGAATCGATTGCGGAACGGAACGAAGAAGGGATTTACTTTCACGGCAAACTGGTCATGGTGGAGATTGAAATGTGTTCCCATAGCTACCATTCAGTAAGCCTCTCTCTCGACCTGCCTTTTCAACGTGTCCTTCAAGAAATTCAGATTTTTGCTTTGGTTGGTTCTGTTTTACGGTGTTGTTCGGAACACCTTGGTTAAAGATGTTGTACGGAACATCTCTGTTTGATAAATGCTGTCCGAAGCATTTCTGGTATGTTTTTCCGTTTCGACGATGCTGCATGGAGGATCGTGATCGCCATGTTGCTGTTCGGAGCACGTGGTTATGTTTATGTTTCGACGATGCTATTCAGAGCATCTTGATAGCTATGTTGCTGTTCGGAGTATACATGGTTATGTATTGGTTCGACGATGTTGTTCGGAGCATCTTTGGTTTGTTTTCGTGATAGCAAATTTCTAGAGCATCTTTGGAGGACAAGTATGAGAAGGCAGTTTTGGCAAGAGATCTCGTTACATCCAGTTCATCACCATCAACGTCTTCGTGAGGAGTTAGGTCTTCTTCAACATCGGCGAGAAGTTTGGGATAAGTAGCAGTTATCAGTGTCATAGTTTTAGATTTTTTTTGTGTTAGTTTTTTGTTTCGGTTTTCAAGTTGTTGGCAAGTAATTACCATCAATTTGGGGAAGGGTATTAGAGTATAGGTAGTACGAGTATTATTATGTTATACTACGAGTACTATTATGTAATTGAGCAGAGTTATATTCCTTATCAGAGTCGTAGAAGTTAGGTAATTTCCGTATTAATATTAGGTTTATTATAGATTTTAGTCTCTGTACTCTATATAAACCCTATGTGGTTCCAGTAATAATACATAACAGTTTCCACCGTATTTTGATTTACCAACAATGACAATTCCCAATACAATCCATCCACTTAAATATCCAACTAATCCAATACATTTGATCCAAATCTAATTGGATTGGTGGATTCAAGGGTTGATTCATGGATCCAAATGGCAACATACGATTTGGTACCTATGCTTTTAATATTATATATTTTGGTGCCTAAATTTTTTTTTATGACATTTTTTTCCTAAACTTTTCAAAATTTACATTTTGGTCCAATGCTTGGATGTCATTGTGATTCATGGATCAATCCACCAATCCATATGATCCAATTCATGAATCCACCAATCCATTTGATCGAACCCATTAATCAAATCCGCCAATTTATGGATTCAATCCATTTGTCACCTCTTGTGGAAGGTGTTGCACACAAAGTGCACACTAAGAGGGAATCAATGGTGCCCAATGGTGGAAACTAGAGGTGGCGGATATTGTTAACTTTTTTTAGATGGTTTGTGTTTTGATTGAAATAAAATATTTCTAATTAACATTAGAAAAGAATAACTTAAAAATAGTAATCTTAATTTTTATGTTAGGGCGATTATAATAAAATTTGAGTTACAATTATAAACTCTCTTTGACTTTTGGATGGTTGCAACCCATGAAAAGAGAAAGAAGGATAGTGACTATGTCAACTAAAAGGCTCATTTGAGTTAAATATATATTTTTTTACCGGGTTAATTGCAAGGTTGTTCACTGAGATTACTAAAAACGTTCATGTTTGGTCACTAAAAAATATTTAATTTCATTAGTGATCACTAAAATTAGTTAAATATTCCAAGTTTAGTCACTCTCCGTCCATTTCTGATAACTTTTGCTTACGTGGCAGTCAACCCTTATAGTTGACCGTTAAATAAGTGATGTGGCAATTAAAAAATTAATTAAAAATAACATTTAAGATTTTTAAATTTCCACCTCATTATTGAAACCATTAAAAAAATGAAAATATTTTTTTTAATAATCCTTGCTACCACTGGAAGCATCCGCCGGGGAACGTCAATCAACAGAAATTAACATTTCTCGGTCAAATCCCCACTTGAACATTCTCCGGACACACATCCTGACGAGGCTTGACGGAGTTGCTCTCCGCTCTGCCGCTTGCACCTCCACGGAGCTCAGTTCGCTCGCTTCGCAGGATAATTTATGGAAGAATGTTTGTCGGTCGACGTGGCCGTCCACCAACGGCCACCGCTCCATCTTCTCTGCCTCCTTTCCCCTGCTGGCCAACATGGAGCCTTATTCCGAGCTGCCGGCTACCTCTTCCTCGTCGTCCGAGATGTTCGGGGAGGAGCTTATCTCGGAGCTGTTAATCCTCGCCACCAATGGAAGCACCCCACCGCTAGAGGAACGTCAATCGAATAGTTTCCTTCTTTCGGCTCTTGATCTTCCATTGATGAGGAGCATTCTGAACATCTTCGGATGAAGAACTGTTGCTTGGATTTATTTTGGTATTTAATAACGATGATGATAACTTAATTCATGATAAAGAGATATCAAATGGTAGTGGCGCAAATTAACCATACCTTCATCTGATTTATCCAAATTGAACTATTAACTTTTCCTCATATGGGTTATTGCTTTGTCACCACCACAACCAAATCGATTCCGGGTCGTATTGCTCCCTCATCCCGCCTATTATTTATGCTATGTTTTCTGGGTTCCAGACGAAGAACAGAGGCTTCAGTCTGTCTCTGGTTTCTTTCTTGTGACATTCCAATTTCACACTTTACCTTGCTATCTCATTCCTCCTTTGCTAGCGATTCATTTCATCGCCAGAATTCATAAACCTTTAATTTCTAATCTCAAATCCACTTCCTCCGGCCCAATTCGAATAAGATAAATCAACTTCCTCTGGCCCAACCGCTTCCTTCTTAAATTTACTCGCTATCCCAATCAGAATCCTCGCTCGCCGTCTGGGTGACTGGAATTCAGAAATTCCCCTCTTCCCTCCCCTCAACAGTCGCTCCCACTGGCTACTTTCACTGTTTAAAAAAAATATTTATCAATATTTTTTACATTTTTAGTGGTTGCAATAATGAGGTGGAAATTTGAAAATCTTAAATTTTATTTTTAATTAATTTTTTAATTGCCACGTCACTCATTTAACGGTCAATTATGAGGGTTGACTGCCACATAAGCAAAAGTTAACGGAAATGGACGGAGAGTGACCAAACTTGAAATGTTTAACTAATTTTAATGACCACTAATAAAATTAAATATTTTTAGTGACCAAACATGAATGCTTTTAGTAATATAAGTGACCAAACTTGTAATTAACCCTTTACTGAATCGCTATTCATCGCCCTAAAATTCAAATTTTATCGCCCTAAAATGCACCAATTTTACACTCTTATCCCTAATCCCAATTTCAACGTAAACCTTAAACAAAAAATCTCTTACAGGGCCCAGACGTCGCCGAGCTCCTTCATCGTCTGACTGTTGCTGCCGATGCCGGATTCTTTTCTCCGGCCGCTTTGAGCTCTCATGTAAAAATTATCCATCCCACCGCTCTGGTTGAGAGCGACAACTCCATGCCAGCTACCAATTGACAAGCTAAGGCAAAAGCAAACACGATGTGAACTGGTCGCCGTAAGAAGAAATACAGAGACTCAGAGGCTGGAGGAGGCACGACAGCTCCGGGAAGACCTCACCGGACATGGCAAACCATAGAGAATAGACAGGGTATTCAAGCTACTTAACCTGCACCCATCAATTCGTCATCACTCTAACGTTGCCAAGAGAGCCCAGCCAATCAAAACAAAGCCATCAATAATCAAGAAGCAAGAGGTAATGTCCTCAAAAAGCTTCGGCAAAATTATTTGAACCAATCAATCAAGCAGATAACCAAATAAATAATAGGGAACTCCACCAAATGGAGAGAGACGCTGGCTGAGCAGGATGATGGTCGGTGACAGTGGGAGATCTAAAGCCGGCGAGGGGAAGTGTCCGGCAGTGTTAATAGGAAGCAGCAGTAGAGAATACGTTTATGTAATTAAGGGTATTAGAGTAAATTTAACTTAATTAGGGCGACTAATAACGAAATTTAGGGCGACGAATAGCAATGCCCTTTTTTTACCCCTTTCCAGTTTCCAGTCACTCACTTCCAGGTTCTAGCCATTAATCTCAGTTCCACCCTATATGTATATACTCATGGAATGCCTTAGGAGTTTATTATTTGGATTGATTGTGAGAATTTAAAGAGTCGTTCGTATCAAGAATCTGAAAAATCAAGGTTTGTATCAAATTTTGGGATTTAGAAAATAAGGCTTGGTGATGGATTTGGTTCATTTGTGATATGATTAAATTGTTGTTTAAATGTTATGTTTTGAGAAAAATTGATTTCTTTAGTACCAAGAATTTGTTTTCAACTCTTAAATCTCACCAAATTATGTGGAAATTCTAGTTGAATAGAAGGATTTCGTATCCACTATTTTAATGCATCCACATGTTCAATTTTGTTTAATTTTCACTGCTATTATTTTGGAGTCCAAATCCTTAACCCAAATGCTGGATCTGAACGACCTCAACTCCCCAAGGGCCAAGGAACTGCCAAAATAGGAATGGGGAGTTATTTTGTTTGGTCATATGGATTGGAGATTGAGATTCGGTTGGAACTTGAGAGCAGTATCACAACTTCACAAGACACGACAAGTCTCCTCTCCTTCATTTTGGTAAATATTATTCTTGACTTCAGTTTCTGCTCTGCCATGCCATGTGATGAGAGGGGACACAATTATTCCTCAGTCCAATGAACCCTTCCCATCCATCAATCTGTCTCGTGAACGTGAAGTTACTTCTTTTCTTTTCTTTTAATTTTTTTTTTTGGGGTTTTTTGGCTGAATTCACTTAAGAATATTCCATGAGGTTGGATTTTGGATTTCTCCTAAAGATTTCAAAAGTCTCTCCTCCTGTACTCTCCCATGTAGTTCAGCAAATTTCTCTTTGAATAAAAGAACGAACATGTAGGAGATAATTTGTCATTATGTTCAAATATTTGTCCATGTTATTCTTGATTTCTTGTTAACGTTATACGTAACGCAAGGGTAAGTCAATTTATATGTTGAAGATTTTGGTTACATATGTTAAGGATTCAGGCACTAAAATCATCAATTCAATCACGTAGCATTTAGAAATGTATTCATTTCAATGAGAATGGAAGTTAGCTACTCATTGATGAATGGCTAATTGCCACATGAATTGTACGTATTACAGAGTGCCGCCTTCTTAAAGAGCTTTGATCGATCGATCAGGATTCGGCCAAAGTCTCCATCATTCATTCATTCACCACCGCCAAGTCGTCAATGGAAAATTAGGTCCAAAGAATGATGTGTGTGGACAAACTTCCTTCCTTCCTTTTCTCCTTTCGCGACAAATTCCTAACTAATTAATTAATTAATTAATTAATCAGATGCAGTTGGAGTCTGGACTCTGGATATATCAAGTCCATCTTATTCCTATACATGGGTTTCTTCTCCACCCCACTAAGGCGGGAAGTTTGGTACCGGTATTTGGGATATACTAACTACTGTACCGAATTTGTGTATATTTGGTATTACCAAATACACGTATTATTTCTTGGAATTGAGATTGAGATTCAATTTCAATTGTTATTCGGTATTAGGGATTACGGGATTGGGGTCGGTATATACCGAAATACCGAACAATACTGAAATATAAGCTAGTGTGTATTTTATCCTCTCAACTAGACTTTCTCATTCACTACTACACTACCCTCAACCACCAATCAATTGTTATTTTCATAACATCAAAAAGCAAACACTAGTATTAGTCTTCTCTCAGCCTCCAATTCGTCAAATTAAAAATTACCAATGACAAAAACTTGAGATGTCACCTCTACTCCATTCTCCTTATACATATCCTAGCTCTAACAAAACTCAAAATTATTTGATAGTCTCTTTTTCCTATATTAAACAAATTTATACATTTAATTATTAATTGTAAAGGTAATTAATTTTGTATTTGATAATACTGATTGGGATACCGAAGTACCGATTGGGATACCGAAATATTTAGGGATTGGGATTGGGATACGGAAATTATTTAGGGAATGAGATTGGTTCTAGGATGTAATTCGGTATTCGAGATTTCAGTATTTGGTATTGGAATACCGATACCGTACCGATTTCCACCCCTAACCACAAGTCCAAGTTTGTTAGGATAATTGCGGGCCACTAGGTAGGTGTCCTTTATAACGACCATACAGTAAGGAAGAACTAATTTGTACCATTTCTATCATGTTCTTATTAATTATAGCTGAACAAGATTAACTCAATAGTTGACAAAAGTCAAAAATAATATTGGAACGTATATCGTATTAAATTTGGTAGTCATCAAACGAGCCATACCCGATGCTTTATGTGCCACTTGATTCCTTTTGTGTTCTTTGATACTTTATTCATATCCCACGTATGGTTTCACAATCTATGTCGCGAATAAAAATTTAAGACAATTATCGGTATCTCACTAAATCAATCCTTTTTTGTAAGGCTAGGCTATGCCTTAATCTTCCTCAAAGTTCTCGTAAAGTTTGTTACTAAAACTTGGCATCATTTAACTTCCATGTAGGTAATCTATTACAACCATTCTTCATCATCCTTTAGACTTATGATGGTCCTCAACAATATTGGTCATAACTTCAATCATAAGATCAATGATTTATTTTGAATTTAGCCTTCACTAATCTCACGAGTAATAATTGTGAAGGCCATGTATAAGAATTTCCTGAAAATGCAATGATTAGTCACATTAATGCAATTGGTTTTATAGATACAAAAATTTATGTCATATTATCTTGCAATTGAAAATGCAAAATCAATATAGATGCTCTTAGTAGGGACATTTTCTATGGAAAGAATTCATCACAAATAAAAATTAGTTATTTCATAGTCCAAAACTAAAGAAAATTATATTTTTCTGAATGAGTAACTTGATCAAGACTTCCAAAGACCAATTCCATAGTAGGACAGCTTTCTTAGCCTCATGACAATATTCTCAATAATACCTCCTTAGTCAACACTTTCACATATCACTTAGAAGGTAATTGATCTGACGGTTAGTGGTTATCAACTATGGAAAAATACATATTAACAATCGAACCAATCGGGTTTATCGATTTGGTTGACAACTAGTTTGGTGGTTAACTGCTAATGAATAACAACCTCTGAATGTGATATTTTTCTTTGGTATTTTAAAATTTTGTATGGTGTTAT